AAATGAGAACCTTCTAATAGGACGTCCAAAAAAGGAAAGTGGGAACCTTCTAACGGGACGGAGGGAGTACAATTTACTAATGATTATAGAGTAGTACATTATTTTTTATAGCCCGCAAAATAGTAAGTAACACGCAATATAAACATCATTTGAAAACAAATTACATTCCATGGCGAATTTTATGAAACACTTTTTTGTACCTTCTGTCTAGCATTAACCCTTGTTAAAAGGGAAATTACACTAAATAGGACAAAAAAGTTTTATGTATTCCAAAATTGGACCTTAAACATGACAATATTTTTCAAGCTTGACATTAATTACACCTATTTTGGTAATAAAAAACATGACAATCTTATTTTGGAATTCTCAAACTTATTTACTCACATTCAAAAAATTTCCCTTATTAAAATCCTTCATTCAAGTAAATTTTTGACAAAGATTTTTTTCATTTTCAAATCAAAGGTCTATATATGTTAACTGAAGGTATAAATTTTTATAATTAATAAATAATATGATGACATTACATCTATACGAATTGAATTATTTAGACGAATTGCTGATGTAACCTGGCAAATCGGGGGGTGTGCACATATGTGAAAATGTGTTATGTCTTTATCTATACGAATTGCATTATTTAGACGAATTGATGATGTAACCTGACAAATTAGGGGGGTGTGCAGATTTGTGAAAATGTGTTATGTCTTTATCTATACGAATTGCATTATTTAGACGAATTGTTGGTGTAACCTGGCAAATCAGGGGGTGTGAAGATATGTGAAAATGTGTTATGTCTTTATCTTTATCTATACGAACTATTGATGTAACCTGGCAAATCAGGGGGTGTGCAGATATGTGAAAATATGTTATGTCTTTATCTATACGAATTGCATTATTTAGACGAATTGCTGATGTAACATGACAATTCAGGGGGGTGTGCAGACATGTGAAAATGTGTCATGTCTTTATCTATACAAATTGTATTATTTAGACGAATTGCTGATGTAACTTGGCAAATCAGGGGGTGTGCAGATATGTGAAAATGTGTTATGTCTTTATCTATACGAATTGCATTATTTAGACGAATTGCTGATATAACCTGACAAATCAGGGGGGTGTGCAGATATGTGAAAATGTGTTACATCTTTATCTTTATCTATACGAATTGATGATGTAACCTGGCAAATTAGGGGGTGTGCAGATATGTGAAAATGTGTTATGTCTTTATCTATACGAATTGCATTATTTAGACGAATTGCCGATGTAACCTGGCAAATCAGGGGGTGTGCGGATATGTGAAAATGTGTTATGTCTTTATCTATACGAATTGCATTATTTAGACGAATTGCTGATGTAACCTGGCAAATCAGGGGGTGTGCACATATGTGAAAATGTGTTATGTTTTTCCTAAACTAAACTTAAATATAAATTTATGAGAAAACTTCAAATAAGTATTTATACATATAATGTTATTTAGGTATATATGTATATAACTTTTTAAAATGATTACATAAATATGATTAAAATAAAGGTTGTTTATGAAAATGTGACATGTTAAGCATAGTTACTATGGTCAAAATACCTTTTTACATCTTTTTACCAATAGGATTTGGTTGCTTACAAAACTTTATGTTCTGATGGATGTAATATCTTTAGATTATACGGACTAATTATTTTGTATTGTATTTATTTTGACATTTGTTTAAGGATTTTGCAAATTTTTTTAATGGAAAAATGAACAAAAGCATGATGTTGACGTTTTTTGGGGGGAATCCTATTCATCAAACAGAATCAGTCAATTCAGCCACTTCAGCCCGAACATCATAAATTTCAACAGAATCAATCAATTCAATCAATTTTAATGTTATCAAACAGACATAATAAGTTACTTTACAAAAATAATAATGAAAAATTCATACCCACAATCCACATAATTCCCCCTCTATGGTGTAGAAAAAATACCCCTTCTATGGGCTAAAAAAACTCCCCTACCACAACTCATATGCCCCACCCCCACCTTAAACTTTCTCGGTTCACACTTTTTTTGTGTGTCATCCTTGCGCAAGGGTCATGCTAATCTTCTCTATATCGTTCAAATTTTATCGGATGTCCCCGAAGGGACTTCACACTTTTTTTTTTAAATTGTCGTAGGTGTACACATTTTGCTGAATTGTCTGTGGACAGACAATTCTATGTGCGCGAGACGGAAGAATATACAAAAGGTGTACACCAATTTTTTTTTACTCTTTTTCCTTTCCTAATAGATACTACCTCCGTCCCACTAAGATTGAGACATGAGAAAGTGTCACGGTTATTCAGAAAAGTGAGTTTGTGTGGTTGACATTGAATTGATAAAGTAAGAATAAAGTAAAAATTATTTAGAACCACACAAATTTTAACAAATTTGGTATGGAACAATCTTAATGAGACTTCCCAAAAAGGTAAACTGAGACAGTCTTAGCAGGACGGAAGTAGTAGTATTTCACAACATCTTTCATCCTCCCCTTTTTTCCGCCTCATTCCTCCGAAAAACTTCATCCCGCTTCAGTGTTCCTCTTACTATTAAAAGTGTTCCGCTAGACAAATTAGGTTCTCTACTTCCCTTCTCCGATCTGGTGAGCTCGTTGCCCTCTGAAACAACCTTCGGGTCCTCCCATTTACCTCTTTAATGAACGATTTGCGTTAATCCCCAAAACGGTAAACTCAATTCATACACAAATTTTTTATTTTATCTTTTCTTTAAGGAAACAGCCAATTTTATTAAAAGAGACCCAAGGCAAATTACTGCAAACCAAGTAAATCAAAAGGAAAAAATACAGCAAAACACGCGTGAAATTCAATTCATTTTAAAACCTGAATTTCAAGAATGACCGTCTGATAGGGAAAAAAATAAACACAAACAGTACACTTACCGAGTTTCATAACATATTTAAAAATAATCCGTAAATTGAAATAATTTAAAATTAAAATAGAAACCAATTGTGACAAACGATCAAAAATCAATCGGTCACTAAAATAATTTATTTACAAAAAAAAAATCTTATCTAGGGTCATTAAATTTCAAATCTATTACTCCCTAATATATATGGTAAAAAGAAACAAAATCCAAGTGTTTTGCTTATTTATGGCGAATGTTTCAGAATGTTCATTTCTCAATCCATTTTGTATTTCATATAAGATTATGTCCCCACCGGTGCTCTCTTTGTCCTTAGCATCTAATTCATCACAGCAAGCAGCCACGACTTCTTACAACGCTTTCTCCACTGCAAAAGCTTCACACCAACCCTCCTACTACAGGTTTGCATCCCTCTATTCCTTCACCTCAAATTCATCTTCCTCCACCAAATTTCTATATCCTTCTTCCTGTGATTTCAATGGTGAATTTCACAAATCCTGTAACCATCAAACAAAAAACAATCCACTTAATTTTATAGCGCAATATATATCTACGGTTTAGCCCAAGCGAAAAAACATACGCTCTATATACCATTCCTGTACCTAGGGTATTTTCAAATGGCGTTCCAGCTGCACGTAGTATCTTCCAGCAGCGGCAACCTTTGGCATCTCCACACACAACCAACCTCTAATGATGTTCCGACAAATCCATAAACCCTTCTACCGGCTAAAATTACCCCGACCAGCTTAATAAATTGACACCTTGCCGGCAACACCGTCTTCTTCATGCTTTATTCTATTAAAAAAAATCTCCATCAACTACATATTTTGTCTGATCTACCACAAAAATCCCTACCTTCTTAGATTCTAGAACAATATGCATCTATATTGGCTAACAGGTAAAGCTGTGTTCAAAGTATACACAGACTGTTTTGCTATTTCTACGGTGGGGATGTGAGAAATCCAATACGAAAGTGCATCTTTTATAGCTAGATGATCATACAACAGCTCCACGGTGGGAATGAGATAGGCTCAATCTCATTTACTGTACCCACCACCCAGTTCTACCAATAGCATAAGTCATAACATGTAGGTAAACAGTAATTACATAACAATCCACGCAATTGATTTTATCTGTGCTCACCTCCTCCTCTGACCAATAGGAATTAAGTATTTACAATACTTGCTTACTCGAACAATTTGATCTCGGTGGCCTAAATTTCTTTTTTATTTATTTTGACAAATTAATAAATTAGTGATTGAAGTTGACGTTTTCAAGCGGGAACACTATTCCTCTAAAATCTTTTGCTTTTATATTAGAATAGATAGATTATTACCGATTAGGATAGGGCAATGCAAAATGCCATTCAAATAGTGTTCCCAAATACAAGACATCGGTGGTGTCTATGGCATATAATGAAGAAGGTGCCTGAGAAGATGGGAGGGTTGACTGATAAAGACGAAGTTAGTGCTTGTTTACATGATGCTGTTTACGACTCCCAAACAGGTGCACAATTTGAGTTTACATGGAGTTCTATGTTGCAAAGGTAAGCATTTGTTTTTTTACAAGTTCTATTCAATATCACAACTATCGTAAATTTCATGTGGACAAATGTGCAGGTTTCACCTTAATGACCATGAATGGCTACATGTGCTTTACAATGAAAGACATCGGTGGGTGCCATGCTACTTGAGGCCAACGTTTTGGGCAGGGATGTCAACGACCCAACGTAGTGAGAGCATTAACGCCTTTTTTGACGACTTTGTTCATTCTAAAACAAGTCTAAAGGAATTTGTTGATCAATACGGGCGTGCGTTGAAATGCAAAGTAGAGAAAGAGTTCCAAGAGGATGCTAAGTGTCTCACTAAAATGTTGTCTTGTGTGAGTATATATGCCATGGAACATCAGTTGCAACAAATGTACACACTTGCAAAGTTCAAGGAGTTTCGAACTCAAATGGCCCGGAAGTTGCATTGTGACCTGTTAGGGTGTGAGGATGGTATACATTACAATATCCGTGAAGACAAACAGAAGAATGGGGTTTTTTTCAAAACAATCCATGTTGTGGTTGAGTACGATAATTCTATCCCTAATTCTAAAGCGGTGTGCACGTGCCACTTATTTGAGTTTAGAGGGATTGTTTGTAATCACATCATCACAGTACTTGTGCGTAACGGAGTTCACGTCCTACCAGAGTGTTACATCATGCAAAGGTGGAGGAGAGATATCAAAAGAGGATACACAAGAGTTAAAATTAACTATGATGGTTGGATTACGACTAAAGAGCAACAACGGTTTGACAAGTTATGCACCACATTTGAAAGACTTGCGAATAGTGTGGCCGATGATGATGAACATTATGAACGCGTCTTGAAATGGCTTGAAGGTGAATTGAAAAAATGCAACATGTCAAATGCTCGTTCATCAATTTGTGGAGTTATGACTCAATTAACGGACACCCCGCCAATCCAAGTCATAGGCGTGAACGCACAAACAAGTGTTCCTATTGAAGATCCAAACAGGACAAAACGTAAAGGCGCTCCGAGAAAGACTAGGCAAAAAGGACCTATTGAAAAGGGGAAGAAAAAAGCAAAGGTACATCCATTTGTCTGTGAAGCCGGAGCAATGTGTCTAGGCACAGACATTTAGCCAATGGAACCCGTGTGAACTGCCTGTGGGACCATACTAAATTGCCTGCTCACAGACAAATACCTATTGGAACCCCTGGGTCACCAAATTATGAAATGTCTGTGAAAGCATACTTATTTGTCTGGTCACAGACAAATACCTAATGGAACCCCTGGGTCACCAAATTATGAAATGTCTGTGAGACCATACTTATTTGTCTAGTCACAGACAAATACCTACTGGAACCCCTGGGTCACCAAATTATGAAATGTCTGTGAGACCATACTTATTTGTCTGTTCACAGACAAATACCTACTGGAACCCCTAGGTCACCAAATTATGAAATGTCTGTGAGACCCCGCTAATTTGTCTGGTCACAAACAAATACCAACTGGAACCCCTGGGTCACCAAATTATGAAATGTCTGTGAGACCATACTTATTTGTCTGGTCACAAACAAATACCTACTGGAACCCCTGGGTCACCAAATTATGAAATGTCTGTGAGACCATACTTATTTGTCTGGTCACAGACAAATACCTACTGGAACCCCTGGGTCACCAAATTATGAAATGTCTGTGAGACCATACTTATTTGTCTGTTCACAGACAAATACCTACTGGAACCCCTGGGTCACCAAATTATGAAATGTCTGTGAGACCCCACTTATTTGTCTGGTCACAGACAAATACCAACTGGAACCCCTGGGTCACCAAATTATGAAATGTCTGTGAGACCATACTTATTTGTCTGGTCACAGACAAATACCTACTGGAACCCCTGGGCCCAGACATTTAGCCACTGGAACTGGATATTTTATGAACACTCATTTGAACTACAATTGCAATTATAAACAGGGGCGGCCGAAGAAGCAAGGGGTGATAACATCAGAGGAAGTGGCTGGACCAAGCAATGTTGAAGCTGTAGGAGACGTAGGACCAACAAATGCTACATCAACCGGTTTACAATGGATGTATAATGATGATTTAAGCTTGAATCTTTCTTTGTTCTAGAGAATTACAAGGATTGTAATTACACAATATTTTGTATCATGACAAAACTTCACATATTATGATATATTTTGACATTGTTCACAGTTTTCAGTTATCAGACCCAAAAATATATTGACAATGCAAATTTACTACCATCAAATTTTGACATGTATACTAGCAAATGAATAAACAATACTTTAAAATGTTTGCCATAACTATATTCAAAATGTCGCACTTTATGACGATCAATGATCCACAAATTGGCAATGCTAGAAAGATTTAAATATTGGAATGTTCACATCCAATATACTACCATCATATACTACAAAACCAGAAGTTGATATACATATGTTTGGTTTAGGGATTACATAAAAAACAGAAGCATATATATAACTACTTCGGGGCATATGATGGACAAATTGTTACCACAAAAAATAAGTACTTTGGTTTAAGTGTTTTTTTCCCATCATTCACAAGGACAAAAATATATATATGGACAGCCCTCATACATTCTTCAATCTTCTACGCTTTCTTCCTAAAACCCCATAGGCGTACTGCAAAGTTGTTTCGTATTGTGCGGCAGTTGTCGTACTCACACCCGGGTGTTAAGGGGAGGTCGTGCATCAAATGTTCAGCAAACACCATAACCATAACACCACATACTCCACTCCTGCACAAAAGTAATAATGAAGTCATATATACATATACGATTCCATCGGCCATCAAACACCATAACCGTAAGATAGATGACTAGATTGATTTATATTTCGATTTGCCTCAAGTTACATTTCCACCTAATGTGATTTACATTTCGACTAGGCTCGAGTTACACTTTCATTTTTCCAAAAAAAAAATTACATTTCCATTAACGCAATTTACATTTGAATTTGTCTCAAGTTGCATTTCCATTAACGTTTTTTACATTTAGATTAAAGCGTGTGCGGTTCTCATCTAACTTTGGGAAGAAGGCAATGCAATTATCTCACATGCATGTAAATATAGTCTACCTTGTATAATTTGATTTTTGTATTCAATTTCTTTCCTAGTTTATTTTGGTACGTTAGTGGAACATGTTTATTGCATGGATCCTTACCTTTTGTAAATACAAGTACATGTGTATATATATGTGAACACACTTTGTACGATTGAACATAACAGAATAATACTCCCTCCGTCCCATAAAACTTGGCCAAATTTCCTTTTTTGGCCGTCCCAAAAAACTTTGCCATTTCTATTAAAAACAACAAATATGTGGCTAAAACTATTTCTCTCTCCTCTGCACAAATTTCAACCGCACAGTTTTTACTTTATTATTCTACGTGCAAGTCAACATTGGCCAAGTTTTATGGGACGGAGGGAGTACAAAACTTTATATCCATTGAATTGTGCCCTGCGAATTCTCAAAACGGTTTACAATCGGAATCGTCTCAACAAGTTACATTTCAATTAATGTGATTTACATTTCGACTTGTTTGAAGTTACATTTTGCATACACGCGTGATAAGTCTGTATTTTGACACGTATTTGATGAGTGTTGAGATCGGCTTTTGATGATTTTCCTAGCTTTAAGTTGTTACAAGTCTCAATTTTAGCTCAAGTTATGTTTACCGGGCGTTAGTTCGAGTTTTGTGTTGTTTGTAGTCAAAATCAGGGAATTTGAGCCCGGGTACCGGCACTTGAGGAACAATCGGGATGATTTGAGAAGCATTTGAGAATGGTTTGATATCTTTGGAGGTCACCGGAAGATTCACGATGAAGATTTGAAGGAAAAAGAGCTCTAGGATTGGCTACGGGGTCAAAAGAAGATGAATGAAGCTTGAAAACGACGATCAGGATGACCTTCTGTCAATCGTTCAAGCATATCTCTTTGTAGAAACATCCAATGTACACGATTCAAGTTCCATAAAAAAGCTAACTTCAAGGGCTACAAATGATATGAAGACACCTTTGTGAGAATCTGAGAGGAGGAAGGTGAAAACAGACAATGAAGTCAGATGATCTATGTTGCGATTGCAGAAAGACACCTTCCACCGTTTTGATCATATCTCTTGATTGGATGATTCAAATCACATTCGACAACTTGGTGTGGATATAAGACTTCATTATCTACAACTTTAATGAAGGAAACATTGCCAAATTCGGAAGTTAAGTAGGCAAGATCGTGCCCTCAAAGTCAGGCACGATCGTGCGTGAAGAGAAAGCCCCGCGGAGTTACTGCCAGCCAGGCACGATCGTGCCTGGAGGGAGGCACGATCGTGCCTGCCCAAAATGCGCGTTTTTGCTCCGGAGGCATGATCGTGCCTGGCTCCGAAAATCCTAATTCAGCTCAAATTTCACCCGATTTTTCTATTTAAACAGCCTGTAAACCCCCGTTTTCAAGGGGGGAGCTTAGAGAGAGTGCCTAGCACGAATTTTAGAGGGCTTTTCAGCCTTGTTCATCAATCTTTTGGTATTCTTTGTAAGTTCCACCTTTTTAATTAATGACAATTAATTCTATTCTTCCCAATTCTATTGATTCTTCAATTATGAATTGTGAGTAGTTTAATTAGGGACTGGGAATGATGAAGGGGTTGATCATGATGTATGGCTAGTTTCTTGATGGATTAATTGCATGAATGCCGTTTAATTTGTGTTTGAATAATTTAACTGATATCTTTTGTAACCTAGAACGCGCGCTAGAATTACAATTGCTTGTAGAATAAATTAAGAGAGATCTAGTTTATTCTAGGACACCTTCACACACACTTAATCGTTCGCTAAGAGATTAGTAGCGATTAAGGGGCCGTAAGCTCGCTCGTATTGGCAATAATTTAGGATCCTGTCGCATGAGAGATCAGTCTGGTCCCCTAAATTATTGTACTCTACGTCGCGAGAGCGGTAAGAATTTAGTAATGATTAGCTAGACTCAATTGAATTAATTTCATGTAATTAGGCCTGATCTGCCAGAAATCTGGTTACCCCGGAATCAATCCCTATTCCCTTCGTCATTAATTAGAAAGAACCCCCAAGTTTAATCGTTTTATTCGCATTTTTATTTTCCAGCAACCAATCTCGCACGACGCATTTTTATTTATTTCTTTTTAATCACTGAATTTAGTTAATCTTTGATTCCCTTTTGTCCGTCCTTGTGGAGACGATACTCGTACTTACACCACTATATTACAATCTATTTTAAGTGCGAGAAAACACACATCAACGCGGTTTATATTTCATATATCAAAGATGATAAAATAACCACCGGAGGGAATAACATGATTTGCACTTCAGTGCCCGAGTTATATTTGTTGCGAAGTGAAATTACATTTGTAACAACGCGTGTTAGATTTCAGTATAAGAAATTTACGTCACGAAAAATATTTGAGTACACTAAAATCATTTTAACCATGTGAGCATTAGAGTGTTTGTGATTGCTTCTACTTTAAAAAAGTGTTTTTTAAGTGATTTGGGGAAAATATTGAATAGTAAAAGTTGATAGTGTTTGAGAAAAAAGTGATTATGAAATAGTAAAAGTTGGTAGTGTTTGATAAAATAAGTGTTTTTTGTGTAATAGAAAAGTGAAAAGCAGTTTAAAACACCTCTCAACCTGCTTCTAGCTTTTAGCTTTTAAGTGATTAATTTAAGCAGAAGCCACAGAATTAGAGTTAAATCACCTTCAAACAAGCAATATAATTCATTGATTCATTTATGGGCAAACCTGAGCCACATATGATTGAAGTAGACCTATCATCACTCAATCTTAATGCAATAGTCTTACAATAAAAAATTAAACCAACAAAATAGTAAATAGTCTGATTGAATAAAATAACAACCAGAAAAGCGAAAAAAAAAAGACATTCTTCTCCAACTTCCAGCATGTCACCACGAACGCACCGAAAGATCTATCCAGCACCTTCAGGTAAAACGGCGGGTCTACTCATCTAGACCCGCCTCCTCCCCGTTTTTTTGCTTGTCAAGTGCCATCTCCTCTACTGCCGCTGGATCCTCCTATTCCTTTTCCTCCCAGATCCTTCTCCCCTTCTGCTCGACTAGCATTTCTTCCGGGCTCACCGAATTTCCTTCCTTGATAGAGCTAGTCCCTGTAGTAGCCTACTTCCATCCATGTCCACCTGTGTCCGAACTATCACTCCTGTGAGACACAATCATCTCAGTACTAGAAGACCCTTCAACCAACCACTTGTTCATTCTTGTGGGACTGTCTTCGCCCCACCACCCGCTCTAAGATTAACTCCATAAGTTTTATCAAATGAGATGTTTTCTCCCTTATACACTATGTGACAAAATTTATCAGAATTTCCAATAATCCCACAAATAAAATCAAAGTTTGAGAGTTTTTCATACTTGAATCTACCCACCGGCTAATACCCCCCTTTTTCAGCGTAGTCACTTTTTTCAGGGGTCTCCTAATATCCATACGAACCCTAATTCGCATACAGGCCCCCCATTTCTCATCAAACCGACTTTCATCAAAGCTAATAAAATTTCCAATATAGTTACCAATTCTCCTAACAAATCCTAAATTCATAAAACCATATGCCACATTATAAACCGGACCCAAAATTCTGCCTCATGAAGGCTGATTTGTAGAGGAATGTCTCCCACCTTGATTTCTTTCAGAAGCAACAAGTTCCTTTCGAACAGCCACAACCTTTCATCTAAGACACGTCTCATATCCAAATTATGATAAAAAGTAATGATGTATCTTTTTAGCCAATTTCTTTAATTGACACACCTTTTACTGGTCACCAGAGAGATGATATCAGCTCCTTGAAAATCTGAAATTTGATCTTTCGATTTGTAAGAACCATACCAACCACCGGGAAGGTCACCTTCCCTTCGCACGCCATCTTCCTCATCGTCGAATACAACTCTTCGTTGTCCTCACGGATAGCCATATTATTGTA